GTATTTTATTTGACAAGGAGTGATGCACAGGTGGGGTCCTATTACCAGGTCATCCCCCAGTCCTCAGGGTCGGCAATGGGTGGGCCGGGCCAAAGCCAGGAGCTGGGAGCTCCGCCCAGGTCGCGCATGTGGGCGGCAGGAACCCAAGGACTGGAGCCCTCGCCGTGGCCCCGGGGTCTGCGTGAGCGCAGAGCTGCAGCCAGGAGCGGAGCTGGGCGCTGCGCCCGGCCCTGCAGTGTGCGACGCGGGCGTCTGCTCGCTCCATTGACCTTCGTAGTTGCTCTCTGCGTTCTGGTCTCCTCAGATGCCCGGTGCTCACCATGCATCTTCTGTCCCGGCCCTAAGATCCACCATTTCTCCTGGGAGCCCCACTTGTATGTCCATGTTGGAAGTTGAGCCCCGTTAAAGCCCCTGAGGTTGCGTGGGCCCATGAGGCTCATCTGGACCACGTTCAGGCAGAGTCTTACTCGACCCCGCAGTGGTCTTGTGCAAGAAGCGCTGGTTGCACGTCCATTTCACAGATGAGGAAGCTGAGGTCCAGCACCGGCCTGGGGTCCTGGTGGGGGGTGGGGCAGGACGTGACCACGAGAGCCAGGTGCCGGTGCCACCATCTCAGGGTCTGCCTCTTACCTCAAGGTATCAGGGTGAGATTGGAGTGTTCCTGGGGACGTGGGGCTCAGAGCCAGGTGCCCCAGGTGAGGGCAGCGCCATGGCCACAGGCGGCCGGAGGGGAGGGGGCTGTGAACAGCGAGGTGGATGTGGAGGTGTGCAGGGCAGTGGGGGAGGGTCCTGAGACAGCCTGCGGGGGAGGGTCCGGGGCCTGTCCTGAGTGCAGAGGGGCGGGCTGGGTTTCATGAGAATCACAGGAATGTAAGAGCTTGGGGCAGAATTGAGGGGAAACAAACAGCTCACCAAGAAGTTTTTTTTTTAAAGATTTATTTATTTATCTGAAAGGCGGAGCTACAGAGAGGCAGAGGCGGGGAAGGGGGAGAGAGGGAGAGAGGTCTTCCATCCGCTGGTTCACTCCCCAGGTGGCTGCAATGGCTGGAGCTGTGCCGATCTGAAGCCAGGAGCTTCTTCTGGGTCTCCCACGCGGCTGCAGGCTTGGGCCATCCTCTACTGCTTTCCCGGGCCACAGCAGAGAGCTGGACCGGAAGTGGAGCAGCCGGGACTTGAACCGGCGCCCATATGGGATGAGGCAGTGCAAGTGGAGGCCTTACCTGCTGCGCCACAGCACTGGCCATGCTTTTT